GCACATAACTGGTTTACATTTGATTTTACTGAATTCTGAAATCCAGAGAATAAATGGACAAAACAAAAAAACCCCATGTGGTCAGGAAGCGCAGACACCTGTTGGCTTCACTCACATCTCCTGTTTTATGGTGAAGTCGGGGGTCACGGGTCGGTTGAGCTGTCTGGGTCGGGGGTGACGGTTCACCTGTTATCAATCACTCTTGTTGTCGGGAGCTCACCTGTCCCTTCAACACCTGTCTGCCTGCACAAAGCTCGTTTGATACTGGAAATAAACTTCTAAATAAATCCAACATGTCTTTATTACAGCTTGTCTGGATGTGGGATCGAATGACAGTCGTCTAAATCATCAGGCACAAAATATAAAGAACACTTTAAAAGACTTTGATTGTCATATTTTAATGGCTTTAATGTTGTTTCCTGACAGTAAATGTATATTTATCATCCGCTGAGCAAGCTACACTGATTTTCATGCTTCGACTCACACATCATGTCCTGTAAACCTTTTATTTGCGCCCACACGGTTTTGTTCGTCGGCGAACGAAGCTCTGTTTCAAATCAAAAGCATCTTTGAGGTCATAACTCGGTAATCTGTTTGCTGTTTGCCGTTCGGCCTTCGTTACATGTAAATCTTATCGTTTCTTGGCTCTTGACAGCGGCAGTAAAATCTTGTTTTTCACTCGCTGCCTTTTGGCTCAGAGTTCCAGATATTTCCAAACGTAGGGGGAAAGAAAAAAAGAAAAAGAACCTGATTCACAGCCAGACCGCTGTCTGTAAATATGAGATGCTCAATGTCATCCTCTATCCTCACATGATACGTCTTTGTTCTGATTTAATATCTGTGGACGCTTTCAGTGCTTTTGATATATTATTGCTCAAGCTGTTGGCTAATCATCCGCTATATATATACACGGATATGTTAATGTTATTATGCTCTGTGGATGTTATGAGAATTCACACCGCCACCTCCTCAGTCTTTCATCGTTAATTTCAACCTTCCTAAAGGCGATAGTTTTTGTGTCCCACAGTTCAGCAGCATTGATTGACTGTATTGCTGTTTCAGCCAAGCACTAATGATAGGCCTCCGCAGTGATTTATTCTCCTCGTTTCTCTTGTCACCAGACTCATTATGACCGGAGAGAGGCATTTATCATCAGCGTTGCGATAGTTTTGCTAATGGGAATGAAATCCAGAGTTGGTAGCTAGGTGGAGCTGATTTATTTTTATTTTTTTTTTTAGGGAACATGTAATTTGCCACCGTAGTGTAAGTGACTGCATGACATGACATCATCTTCTCTTTTTGATTAATTTGATTGATTTTGCAAAAAGGTCAATAAGATGCAAGAAATGCCAGAAAGTTTGCGTTGCTCGCTAAACCTTCGAGGATAACAGCGATTGCAACATCTGGCAAATTTATAGAGCTTTTAAATTTCTTGGCTGCGAAACGTTTCGAGCGGTGATTTATGGTTTCATTCTGCGCTCTCATTAAAACACCGTGACATAATAGAGTAATTTATAATTCACGCCGGCGATGCTACAGTAAATCTACGCAACGAGCACACAATGCCGGAGCTATTAGCCGCTGTTGTTTTCTCCCTTCTGAACCGGTTTTGATTTGTGTTTGGGCGTTCGTCAATAATTGCATTTATAAGCGGGCCAGGCATGTACCAATGTGTTTTCCATCTCTGCAGTTTCTCCAGATTTCTCTGTGGTTTTTGCAGTCGGGTGTTGTGTTGTTCGGTCCTGTGTCAGTGCTGCGTGGTTGCCTGTGAAGCTCTCTTTGCTCAGTGTGTTCCTGGGCGGGTCCTGCTCCACTTCAAACACTCCTGCTGTGAAAGACTTTATTAATACTGCAGTCTGTAAGCTCGGCAGCATGACTCATGCCCCCTAACTTACGACCCGCCCTCCGTCCACACATCCCTGCGTCTCTTTCGCCGCCTTGTTTTTTAAACTTTCTCCTGTTTTTGTTCTTTTCCCTTCCAAGAACGAACAGAGCGCGTTTGGCTCGGTGTTCAGCATCTTAAAACAGTCCCCACCTCTTCTGTTGACCCCTCCTGGTCAGCTGCTGAGCCTGGATCTGCTTCCAGCACACTGATCACTAGCAGGCCTCTTGTTTGACTACTGGGAGTGTCTCTTTTGATACCCGCCAACAAAGCAGAAAGGTTGAGAGGGAGACTGTTTTTAACTCGCCATCTGCAGGTTTTTTATTCCGTTCAGCCACGACAGCAGGTGATTTTAATGATTTCACCGATTAGTTATGGGCGTCTGTGATGATGCGCTTGTTCCTGTAATTGTTTCGCAATAATAAAACATGACACAGCTGCGTATGAGAGTGCAACACGGAACATTTGGAAACAGGGAATTCAGCCGTTCTGCGTTTGGTTTTTCCTCAGCCAAGGTGGAGATGAGGTGGAGGTTTTCAGTCCCGTTTGTTGGTAAGATTACACTGAAGCTACCCAACCGTTTTATTAAACTTTCATGTGGATCTGGATGATTTAAAAGAGAAAAATGTGATTAACCTTGGCAGGGAGCTACACTCTCTGGGTAGACGAGTAGTTTTCTGACTGTGAAATGTCAAAATGGTATTTGTGGAAGAGGCTGCACAGCCTTGACTAAGCTGAAGGTAGTTTTTAGGTTATACTACATGGTAATATTTAGTTTGTGTGGTATTTTATCCCCTAGTTGTCATTTTATTAACAAGATTATGCAAAAAAACTCCCAAGTCAAAGTTCATGACACCTGCTGGGGAGGCTACAGGATGTGTTAAATTTAGTGTGGATTCACTTTATTCACAGTTGTAATGGACCGCTCTCTCTCGACACGAGGAGTTTTCCTGCCGTGAAACGTCGAAGGGGCATTTGTGGAAGCGGCTGTGTTGACTCAGCTAAAGGGTCACTTCAGGTCATACCTTACAGTAGTCCTCCACTGGACTTTAATATTTCATCCACCTCATTTTTTTGTCCTCCAAATTGTGATTTTGTGAACAGAGGTGCAGAATTATTCGTCTGTGAGGTGAGAGCCGAGGTAGAGGTGTGTTTTCAGCGCTGTTTGTTTGTCTGTCGGCAGGATTATGCAAAACCTAGCGAGCTGAATTTCATGACACTTGCTGGCCGAAGAATCCATTAAATTCTGGTGTCGACCTGGATTATAACTGAACTGAAAGTAGAACTGCCAGAATGGCGTTTGTGAAAGAGGCTGCACGGTGTTGACTCAGTTTGAGAGTAATTTTAAGTCATAGTTTGAGGTAGCGCTCCACTGGACTGTAATATTTTGTCTATCTAGTACTTTGTCTCCCTTGTTATTTTTATTTTTTTGTACACAGAAGCAGAATTATTCCTCTGTCAAGTCGAAGGCCGAGGTAGAGGCGTGTTTTCACTGCTGTTTATCTGTCTGTCAGCAGGATTGTGCAAAAACAAATTTCCCGAAACTTGCTGAGGAGGCGTCGAACCCGATAAATATTGATGCAGATCTGGATTACTTTCTTAAAAATACTAACAATTGTTGGCCTTGGCAGAGGATGCAGCCCGTTCTGGATATTAACATTACCTCATCCTGTATCCCAACCATCATGTCATGAAAATGTCACCAGACAGTGTGTGCAGATAACAGACTTCTCGCAGGCATCCTCCAACTTTCACACTCTGATAAATATAATTATTTTTAGATAAAGCCACGTCCAGAATAGAGCGTGCATCTGTTTTGTCTGACAGAAAGTGAGCTGTCGACAGCGAACTAGACTGTAGTCAGACTGCAGAGTGGCAGCTGATCTGACATCAACAGTGCGGTTGAGACGCTGAACAAAGCAGCAAATGGAAATGACTCATTGGCGATGCTGCGCCGTGAACCGTTATCCCCCCTCCGGGCCGGTTGTGTTGTCATCTCCATCAGGAGATGCTGGAGCGGGATCAGCTGCCATTTGTACTGGGAACCGGCCTGTGGTTGATCCAGCTGATGACCGTCAGCTAAAGGTCACAACTGGTTAAATGTCACGAGGCCTCCAGACGCTCAGCCGAGTGGAGTCAGCCAGTTGGGCGAAAGTTTATTTGATCAAACATGCGACACAAGTTTTGCATATTACTCCTGGTAAATGTAATACCTCTGTGGCATCTCGAGGGGATTTGTACAAATTTGACAAGAACATTTACTTGAACTCGGCAGTGAAATAATTAGAATTTCTGCTCAAAGGCCGCCGTGACCTCACAAATCATGTTTCAGGCCGTAACTCAACGCTAATTATGACAAAACGTCACCGACATTTTTAAAAGGGTTTAATGATGAAGTGCCGATGTCTGATATGCAAAAGGTCAGCGTCACTGTGACACGTGTATTTTCTGCAAAAACACTTTTCTGGGTATTATGTAACGCCATAACTCAGGCACACAAACAGAGGCCATATTTCACATTTGGGTGGATATTGAGTTTGTTAGTCTTTGAAGTTGTGTGTAATTTATCCCCATTTTGGAGTTTGTCGCTTCTTTGCAGAACTATTTGATGCATCGTCTACTGTCAGCGCAGCTTTGTGTTCGATCAGGGAGGATTTTGACTCTGTTTTTTGTGCACACTCCAGCGTTGGCACTACGTATCATATGAGTCTGAACAGGCACGGATGTGAGCTGCAGCCTGACTGGCTGTCGGAGGTTTACACCTGTGAGGCATTAGTCAGTCACCGAGAATGAAGATAAATGGGCCTCAAATAGTTTCACTTTCTGTCGATATTTGATTGCATTTTGCAGGAAACCACACCCAGCCTGCGTTCCGAGCTCATTTTAAATGCTGATTGAAGTTTCAAAATGCAATTTGAGCCAAGTGTGTTATTTCAATACGTCCATTAGAAGCTTCTTCCCACGGGGTGCTCTCTGATGCTGCTTCCTGTGCTTGTCCACAAACCTGTATGCTTTACATTTGCCTCTTGGAAGTTTTACATTTGCATTCTCTCTCTCTCTCTCTTTTTTTTTTTTCTTTCCTGCTAACTCTGCTCCGTTTCCTCCTTCCTCCCTGCAGGTCTGATGTTAGGCTGCAGCTGCCTCGGCCGCCATCATGTTCACCAAGAAGAAGAAGTCTCGCATCCAGATCTCGGCTCCCTCCAACTTTGAGCACCGCGTGCACACGGACTTCGACGAGCAGGAGCAGAAGTTCGTCGGGCTGCCGCGACAATGGCAGTCGCTGATAGAAGACACGGCCAAGAGGCCCAAGCCCTTCATCGACGCCACCGTCATCACTACTGTGGAACCACGGAAGGTGGGACGAGCAAAAACCCGAACAAGCGGTTGGCTCAGGAAAATAATGCAGCTTTAAAACTTGCATGAATCGTGTTGATAAGTTTGTTTGTGTGACATTTTGATGCAATTATGACTCAAGAAACTGATTTCTATCCTTCAAAAGCCAAGTAAAACAGTCAAATTAGCAGGACGAACCCCGGTTAATGAGGGAAATGACGTTGCTGTGTTGCGCCAACAGGTGGAAAATCTGACGTCATTTTCATTTTATTATTATTTAGGCATTTTGAAATCCTCCTTGACGGTCACAGGATTAAAGGTTTCTCATCTGGGCCCCAATAATCCTGGATTTTAGCCTCACAGTCATGACTAATGTAATTCTGGTGACTTCTGCACGTTACCTGTCAACTTCTGTCGTGTACAATCTACCTGAAAGCAATCAGTGATTACAGTAACCAGTTTCCTGGTTTACGAGTACGTGACTGTTTACAAATCAGCTTCCTGGAAAATGCAGGCCGTGACCTGCTCGTTAAGCACATGTAAGCGGTTATTATACGGCTTGGCTGCAAAGTTTTTGTTCCGTCTCAAATCATCAGAGGCCTTCTGCTCAACCATCTCGGATTTGTTTGATGCTTTTTTATCACGGTGTCTGTGAAGTTTTAGATTCATTTCGATCCACTTTCAGCACGTTTTCTCACTCGTTTAAAATTCTACTTCGATTCAGCTAGCTGGTGAACTTTATGTGTTTGTGGTTCATCAATTTTTGTGACCAAGTGTTTTATATTAGGACGTATTCTGTACGTTTTGATTCGTATTATTTTTATTATTTTATTTGGTTCTGTTGTATCACTAGTTATCTTCTGCATTATTCTTTTTTTTTTTGTTAAGATGAGACTTTTCTTTGTTTCCACATTTCAACCCAGTATTGCTGATTCTGAATTAATGATGAGAAATGACTGATTTTTTTTCAGGATTTATTCTGTAATAGTTCCAAAGATATTGTCACCCAAACATAGCCTCAAATTTTAAGGTGCTGAATGTGCTGAAAATGAGTTAATGGATAATTAGTTTAAAAACAAACAAACGAACTGCGAAACAAACTAAAATTTCCCAAATATTTTTCAGGCGAATCGGAGAAGATCGAGCAGAAATTGTTGTTGCATTAATTCTGTGATTGCTTCTTTGGGTGAACAGATACTGTGGCTAAAGTAAATAAAAATAAGGTGCCCTGTATTCACCGTTTTTACCATTTTAAACCTAAAATAAGGACAGTTGTGGCTAATAGAGACCACAAGCTTTGTTTGTCAGGACGTCTAATTTTGTCATCTACTGTAATCAACCTTTTATTTCCTAATATCTTCAGACCATCGTGCGTGGCAGCAAGCTGGGCGTGGACGGCTCCCTGACGTGGCTGCTGGATGAGTTTGACACGATGTCGGTGACTCGCTCCAACTCCCTGCGGCGAGGAAGTCCTCCCATCCAGCCTCGCAGGGACTCCAGCTCCTCAGGAGGAGGAGGAGGAGTTGGGCAGGAGAACGGAGATCCTCACCACAGACACTACTCAGACAGGTGAGGAGTTACGCTGCAGCTCCAGGCCTGCTGGTAATCGTGTGTTTACTCTGGGCTTGTTTGTGAAGCAGCAGCTTGTTGCACAGACGTTGTGAAATCATGATAACATGATCATTACAGCAGAAGCGCTGTTATATCTCAGGTATCAGCGTTGATGTTTGGATTTAATTCTCAGAGAGCGACCCAGACAAGACCACCACGGCGGAGGAGACCCCCGCCAGCGTGCTGTCCGTCCTCCTCAGAGAGATGAAGGAATCCAGGGTCGACCTCAGCAGCAGCCCCGAGGCCAAGAGCCCAGCAGAGCCCCCAGAGACAGGCTGGACTCCGGCCCTCCTCCGCCTCCTCACAGAGACAGAGAGCATCGGGACCGGGACCAGGTGGGGACGGAGCACAAACCCACAACCTAATATTTAATAAGAACTTTTAGTTTGTTTTAATCCTGCTGACCGTTGGACTCAAACCTGTAGATTGCGTCACCCACATACTGCGCTTTACAAATATATCAGACCACCACCGAATGTCAAGTTTATGCCACAGCTGTCCTAAATTAACAGCATTGCTAATGAACAAAATCATTTCTAATGTTTCTGTACTGGTTAATACACCAGTACGTAGAAGCTCTTTAACGGAAATGATGTTTTTAATGTTTAAATAGTAAAGTAAATTGTTATTTCTTTAATAAAGTGTCATATTTTAGTTATTTCCTTGCATTCCTGAACAGAAACACGAATGTTGTGCTTGATTAATATCTCAGAGAAGCCCAGTGAGTCGGCTATATTTGGGTATAAAAAGGTGAATTCAGTCTGAAATTCCTCATTCCTGTCGAGAGCTGAGAGTGCATTAAAGCAGTTCATGATGCTGGATGATCTACATATAAGTACAGTGCTAAACAAATTAGGCAGGTGCTCTAATAAATGTGTTAAGCACCTCATATGTGAGTTATTCCATCTCAAATCATCAGGGGCCTTCTGTTTAACCACCTCTGATTAGTTTAAAGCTTTATTCATCATTAACTATGGATAGTTAAAATGATGTCTGTGAGATTTTAGATTGATATATTGAATAATTTGCAAGTGAAAATTGTTTTTATACACTGAAATCTGAAGCAATACGTCGGGAACGATCAAGGATAAAAGCCTGAAATCGTCGCTGTTGTTTCTCATCCTGTCGTTAAACATAATGTAAATAATCTCTGATCGTGGGTGCGTTTAAACACTAAAACTAGTGATATTTTCTGAACCACATGTTGCTGCATGTCACGATAACACAAAACTAAACATATAGAAAGTTTTAATATGAACTACGTGGTCACAGTTTCAACATGCATTGAGCAGATATGACTCGTTGTACCACAGAAACAAAAATATTGGTCGATAACCTGACCAGAGTAGAACAGTAGTTTGAATACAGTCACATCGTGTCGTTTTCAGTCTCACATTCATCTCGGTGCCCTACTAGTTTTGGAAGCTTGAAGGTTAACGCCTCAGCAGCTTCTATAAATATCCATGTACTCACTTTAACTTTCTGCAGCTTTGTGACTTTGATCTCGAAGGCCGAGTTTATCCTCAGTGGAGCACAAAGCAAGAGAATCTGTTTTGATCCTATCGAACCCTTTCACGAGGATAAATGTGCTGCTAAAAGTCAATGTATGAAGATTTCCCACTAGAAAACACCACATCTATGCATTTGTTCATGATTGTATGATGCTGCTGTCATCCTGACGACCGATAATGATTCAACACTGGATTAATCGTCTCCTCTATACCAGGGTTGATGCTGCAAAGTGACACCTGAAAATGAAAACATGTCCATATTTAGGATCTTATTGTCTTCTTTCCATTTTGAAACTCACATATCCTTACAGTCGACAACACCTGGGCTGGTAGATGTGAAGCGTTCATTTGTCTGTGGGCTTAAGCTTTTTGCTATTTCCTTCATCTCTGACCCAAACTCTGCCTCCCCTCAGGAGCAGGTGGTTCGCAGGGACCAGCCCGGTGACCCCAGGCCCAAATCCAGCTACGTGTCGCGGGACGGCAGCCCTCAGTCTCCCCGGGACAAGAGGCCCCTCTCGGGACCCAACATCCGCACCCCGAACCTGCCGGTGACCGAGGGGGTGATGAAGACCGCCCAGCAGACCACGCGGCCCTTCAACACCTACCCGAGGACGGACAGCGAGGGCGGTCGCAGCCCCACCGGACAGGTAGGCGGACAAAAAGGCGGCGGCCCCGAGGGAAGCTATTGACTGAGAGAGAAAGGAACAGGTGCAAAGTGAGCACACGGGCTGACGGATGATAGCTCTTATCACCTTGCTCTTTGTTCTGCGCATCAGATTTAGCTGCTTCTGTCCCGGTTCTCTGAAAGCGATGCATGAGCGATAATGTCGAGGCTTGTACAGGGGAACAGGGCGATGTTGTGCCAAAGTGCCTCACAGAAATATCACGTTTAATTTAGACTGTTTGGGTTAAATACAGTCTAGGATTTCTGCTTGCATTTTTTAATGTACACAGATTCTCCTCCTTACCATTTATACTTAGTTTATTATTACTTTATTATATCTGCACTTTGGGCCGTTGCAATTTTGCACATCAGTGTCATTATTGAGTTTGATTTTTCCATCAGTGTGATGAAGTACACTGATTAGCTTTATCCTAAATGACTCAGAAAAGATAAAAAAACTTCTATAAACCAATTTCCTGCTGATTACAATACGTGCTAAAGCCGTGAAATAAAATTAAATATCCTGTGATGGACGACTGAATCCACCCGATGCAGCTCCGTAAATGTGGCGTTAATATTTGATATGATGTAGGATGATGTTTAAATTGTCTGTCGACCGACTTTCAGCACTTATTCTGCACACTGAAATTCGAGGCTGTTTGAACGACAATATCTCAGGAACTATTAAAGATAACAGTCTGAAACTTTTACTCTTATTTATCATCGTGTCATTGATTCAGAATCTGAAATACTGAATAAGTTGATCAAAAAATCTCTTATTACGGATGAGTTGAAATATGAGCAAAAACATTGAAGCCGTCATGAAAACGGTGCACAAAACACAAACAGAAGAAATGGTCGATAATGTAGTCCAAGAAGTACAGAGATCTGAAGTTTCAAATGTTGTTTTTTAAATACATTACTAAAAGAAAAATATATATGTTTTCTGAATATTTGTGTAACTGAGGACTGAATCCATCCAATCATACTCTATAAATTCATATTTTATGTGTTATAAGTCAGCCTCCTCCAGACTGTGTTTATGATGACGTCTCTTCTGTCTTCCAGCCGGGTCGACACCATGAATCCTCCCCTCAGAACGGACCCTCCAGCGGATCCAGCCGAGGCTCCTCCGGCTCCAAGCCTCCCGCGAACCACCAGCACCCTCACCACTCCTCCCACCCCATCCTGACCCCCGAGTCCTCCCAGCACCCGCACACCCCTCACCCCAGCGTCCCGGCCCCGAGGCCCCCCGTCCCCTCCGGGCCCCCGGCGTCCGGCGCTCCCCCTCAGGGCCGCTCGCCGCAGAGGGAGCCCCAGAGGGTTTCCCACGAGCAGTTCAGGGCGGCGCTGCAGATGGTGGTGGATCCGGGCGACCCGCGGACCTACCTGGACCACTACATCAAGATAGGAGAGGGCTCCACGGGGATCGTGTGCATTGCCACGGTGAAGACCACCGGAAAGCTGGTGGCCGTGAAGAAGATGGACCTGAGGAAACAGCAGCGCCGAGAGCTGCTCTTCAACGAGGTGAGAGGAGGCTGAATAAACGAGCAGCGCACAATGTGCAGCTGAACTTTAGAGTCGTAAAAGAGAAAGTAAAAGTGGACTTTTATCTGATTATTTTGAAAAAGTTCAGGCTTTCATCTGCAAACTGTAATCAGCCGTGTGTGAATTAAACAAGATTAGAAACTGGATATATTATCGCTGGTGAAGCCGCTGAGTTTCACTCTGAAGCAGCACTGGTTGTAAAGTCTCCTCCTGTGTATGTAAAGTTTTAAGAATCCCATTTCACTCCTTCCTGACACCACCTGCAAACATAGATTTCACATTCAAAGACAACAGAGCAGCAAAACTCTCTCTCACTTCATGCACTCCTTAAATACAATAACCTAACACTTCATGAGTCAAACCTGCAGTCAGTTGAGGTCTGACTGTTGGCAGCAGAGTGCACGGCTCTCGCATTAGCTGCTAATCGACGTGGTACAGTTTCAGGCACGAGAGTCGCCTTATGAGTAATCAGGAAGCGCTACAGAGCGACCGCACTAATTGTCTGTGTCCGCTTGTTTCCGTGGCAACCGCAGGTGGTGATCATGCGCGACTATCACCATGAGAACGTGGTGGAGATGTACAACAGCTACCTGGTGGGAGACGAGCTGTGGGTCGTCATGGAGTTCCTGGAGGGAGGAGCTCTGACCGACATCGTGACGCACACGAGGTGAGGAGCGTTTCAGTCGGGTCGGATTCACCTGTGTGGCAACTCACGGGTTCTTAAGGGCTTTGACCAGCTGTAGATGGGTCGTATGGCGTTGTACTTCATTAAAATCTATTTATATTCATCTGCTTTAAGTCATTTTGGGTCACTCCCTGATTAAATCCCTCATGTACCAAAAGCTTCCATTAGAGGGCAGCGTTAGCTCGTGTGCTCTGCTTTGACAAGTTCAGTAAACCACCAGGTTTATGAAGAACACCAGTTTTATTATTGATTCATATCAGACAGGGTCAAATAAGTTCCTTCAGTTTGCAGCTGACGAAATCTCTAAACTGTAAAACTTTCTTCTCTGGTCTGTGTTTTCATGACAACTAAAACATCGAACGCTTAGATCTGAACAATAATATCGATGTCATTTGCAATATTACTTTTCTCATGAGAAAAATGGTTCAGTATTTAATTATCATGTGTGATTTTACTTGTTAGCTCAGTATGACTACTTTATACTGTTCTATTTTAGTCTTATTTTATCTTCCTTATCGTATTTCAGTAATGCATCATGCTCATATCTTATTGCTTTCCTTCTCTTTTAGGCACTTCCTTTCCTATGTCATGTCATTTTCTTGCATTTTTGTTTTTCTGATCACGATCTGGCACATTTAGGTTTTATCTTTTCTCTCTGATACTTTCTGCTGGTTTCAGAAGTGTCACATCCAGCCGTAGAGTGACTCATTCATCTACTGCGCGACTAATTCATGTGTTTCTGCGTCGTCTTCGTGCAGGATGAACGAGGAGCAGATTGCCACCGTGTGTCTGTCCGTCCTGAAGGCGCTGTCTGTCCTCCACACTCAGGGCGTGATCCACAGAGACATAAAGAGCGACTCCATCCTCCTCACTCATGACGGCCGGGTACGTAGCACCGTCCTGGTCTCCTCACACCAACGTGGCACCACATAAAACCGACACATCCAGGTTCACTTAATCAGGAACGAATAGTTTATTAACAGGATGCCATGAAAGCCGTAAAAACAAACTATTATTGTAGTTATTTTATGGAAACATCTTTGCGAGCTGACCGGTCTTTACAAAAATAAGAGCTGAACTGAAACAAGGTCGGTAATGTGGTTCACTCTGCAAATCGGAAGCAGCACACAGCTGATTTTATATGTCAGCTCACACCGCTGTGGCTGAGGCTGCACGTTATTATCCTAAATGCATAATAGGCCTTTTTAAAAAGCACGCATCTCAAACGGTCACAGCGACACAACCACAGGTGTCAGTAATTACAGTAATCATAGCGCTCGGCTATTTGAACGCTTTTTCTGTGAGCCTGCGTGCAAACTAAAACCGAACGCTGCAAACATCGGTATTATTAGCTGCACTTGAGCTCGTCCTGCTGTGACACGCAGAAACGTCCACCTCCGGGCAGGATTATCTCGTGCACACTTTGAACGTGGAGATGGTTCAGTCATACTCAGAGTTTGCCACAAAGGATGCACAAACCGTGCGAGGAAAAATGGTGGCTGCACAAAAAGGAACTGAATGTTTCTGTGTCAACCGCCGGTGCAGACGCCAAATCACTTCCTGCCCGGTGACAAGCAAGTTTCTGCTTTCTACAGAAAATGAAACCAAGCGAGCCCGCTGGAAAGGGAACTTCTGGCGTGTCACAGTCAGCAAACGTATGCAAAGACGACGCAACTATTACTTAAGTCGGACTGCGATGTTCCAGACGCTGCAGCTGTGCAACTTTGTCTGCAGAATTCACAGCTGTGAGGTTCTGCTGAGTTGAGGTTTCGGCCGCATGATTACCAGATTACAAGGCATTTCGACAAAAGCCGATAAGTTGAGACAGACCTCCTGCTAAATGTTGTCAGCGCCTCGGTTTGTCGCATCGTAAGAGTCACATTTTGTAAAGGATTTGCTGAACTTAGTGAGTAATTCATTTTGCTGCCAGCATGTGCAGATAAAGATGCAGTTTGATGCAGAGGTTTTCCTTCATCTTAGTTTGTCTCAAAGCTTCTTAATTCACTTTTTTGTAACATTTAAAATGATTTCCAATTACATTAACCTTTACTTCACCTACACATGGAAGCTGACACTCAGGCCCGCTGTAGCTTTTTTGCTGACTGTCTTAAACCTATGCACAATATATGCAAGTCACACATTCGACGCTAAGATAAGTTGTAGTGTGAACCACAGCGTTCTTGATGACAGCTGATCAGCGTTCGTGGTTCGACGTCTTTTATGAGCTGCGGTTTCTCCCGACGCCTCGGCCTCCAGCAGCCTGCACGGCCACAGTCACACCAGAGCGCTTCATGTGACACACAAAAAACACCTTCTGCTGTTTCTCCTGCTCGGGGTTTTTCTCAGACGGCGTTCAGTGTCCCCAAAACACTGCTGTGATAAAGTAGCAGGAGTGTTGTGCATATTATGACCTTTAGTGCTTTGGCTGTCATGGGAAGGTTTCTTTATTTATTTATTTTTTCATCGGATGCTCACATGCACCAGCTTTATGCAGAAGCCTGAGTGTGACCATTAATCAACACTGTAGTATCTAAAAATGGAATTAAAGTCTGTGTGCATTTAACACTTCACAGAAAATAACATTAACTTAGAAACAAAGATGTGCATTTGTTTAGAAAGACTGAGAATATGCGTTTTTATGAATCAGTATAAATGTGTGTCAGGTCAAAGCTGGTAGTTTGACTCGAGGATCTGAGTGGTCACACTTTCACACAGAGAGCTTCGTGCTGGCAGCTGCGGTGTTTGGGCTGGGTTTGTTGTCTGTGGTTTGCCTCCGGCGGGGGGGAAGCAGATTCAACCGAGCCTGAAGCGTTTCTCGTCAGCAGGGTGGGTTCACTCGGTGTGGCTGAATGCACCTGTGGGCTCTGTGGCGTCTGCGAATGAGCGTTTCTCATCTATTAAACACATTAAGACGTTAGATTTTAACTCCGGTTGGCACTGAAACTGGCGTCGGTTGTAAAATGTGCTTCATAGGTAGAAAATGTTGAAGAAGTAGCTGTTAAGTCACACCGTCCGTTCATGGGAGTGTTCGTACATCTAAGCGCCACTTCTCATTGCAGGTTTGTTTCATTTCTCTTTCCGACTCAGCTGTAGCTATCAGTCAGCCTTGTGGTCAACGTTAAAGGCTGATTCTTGGCCTAGATACCCAGCGACGCACGCATTTTCTCAGAAAGCCGTGTCGATGGCAGCGAGGCTTCACTAGCAAGAAATTTGTGCCTCAGATACCCAAAATAAATATTTCATTTCATGTAGCGGAGCCAGAAAAAGATTCTGGCAGCATCAGAACTGCTTGGCAAGAAATAAATAAATGAATATATAATGAAAAGTGGACACGGAGAGTTTTTATTTCTTCAAGCCTCACACTTGACTTCGCCTCCTGTGTAGAATAATCCTGACATTTTTGCACCTGTCTGTCTCCAGGTGAAGCTGTCGGACTTCGGTTTCTGCGCTCAGGTGTCAAAGGAAGTGCAGAGGAGGAAGTCTCTGGTCGGGACGCCGTACTGGATGGCCCCGGAGCTCATATCCAGGCTGCCCTACGGACCAGAGGTAGGACCCCCGCCGTTCGTTTGCTCTCTTAGGATCTCACCGTCGTTTGCCTGCTTGTTGACCGTGTCGTGTCGTCTCCAGGTGGACATCTGGTCTCTGGGCATCATGGTCATAGAGATGGTGGACGGGGAGCCGCCGTACTTCAACGAACCGCCGCTCAAAGCCATGAAGATGATCCGCGACAACCTGCCTCCCAAACTGAAGAACCTGCACAAGGTAGGAGGACGAAGACACAAAAACACAGACATGTTTGGAACTCTTGTTTGGCGTCGTGGTTTTACCGCAGCGACAACAACACGATTAAATCATTGTTGTTGTGGTGTCATAACATGCGAACTTCGAGGAAGAGAGAGAGCCGGTGCACAAAAGTGTGTCATTATTTTATTGCTGAGAATGAGGCGCCTCGAGGTTGAGAGCTAACGCGCCATGAAAGGAGCGTTGACTAGTTTATGGCCTTTTACTGACTTCAACTTTGTACGCGTCGCTGAACAACAAAAGCACAAGTTATCTGCAGGCTGGCACAAGTCCCAGTGTTACTGCTGCTACCTGAGTTAATGATGGCGTGTGAGTCACAAAAGGCAACACATCCGTCTACTACTAAATCCAAGAACCTCTGCATGGGCCTGGTGTGTGTCATTACTGATAGCCGTGTTGAGTCACCGCCTCGGCCTGCGTTCAGAGTTCACTCACTTGCACTCTGTCATATTTTCACAATCTAATCGTATTTTATCGAACTTTGGATCCTAAATTACAAATACGTGACCTTATTTCCTGATATGACCCACATCGCTGTCTTTTTTTTTTGTTGCCGGTGACCCGAGGAAACACAGCGCGGACTTTTGAGGTTGTTTTAGTGTCTCTGGAGAAAGAGACAAACATGAAGCAGCAATCAAAGGGCCGGGGTGACTCAGCGACGTAATGACGAAGACAGCTGAGCCCGCTCCGAGCTCGGATTCTCCTGATGAATAAGCTGCGGCTTAAAAAAACACGCCCACGATCGTGTGAAGTGTGGGAGTAGTTTAGACCCAACAGTGTGGCGCTCTGATGATCAACTTGCTGTGAATTCCTGACGAGACTAGAAGTCAGATTAGACCTGAAGAGAACACGTCTGCGCTGTATACTGTAGCCAGAAGACCATTTAGTAGTTTATGAAACCCACCAGGATGTCTGGCTGGGTTTTGCATGATTTTCTGGTCATTCTCACCTTGACACAGTCCTTGACACAGTCTCATAGGTTGTGTTGTTTCGCATGAATATGAACAAGCTTCGGCTGCAGAGAGCTCACAGACACACGAAGCTCACTTTGCTTTACTTTAAGACTCATTACTGTGACGAAGTATCCAAATGCAAAAAGAAAAAGTGATTTGGAGCACAGCCATGTCAGCACCAAAGCCTGTTTGGCCTGCAGATAACCACAAACTAGCCTGGATTCATTCAACAAAAACAGTAAAAATCAACCAGCAAAGGTGCCAGAAAAAATAAAAAACAGTGAGAAACTGTAAAGTTCATGAACTGCATGAAAGTGGCTAAAATAAAAAAAATCTTCAGTTTCTGTCACTGTGCAGTCTTTAAATTCTGCCTTAAAAACAACACTTTAATCTGCACGTCACACATCGCTGGACAATTTTCAGAATATGTAAACTGTAAAGGAGAAGTGTGACTGCTGCGGGAAGTGGTTTCGCTTTTGCTTGCTGTGAAGCTCTTATCTGATCTCACAGCCAGCCGGTCCGCAGACCAGCAGCTCGACTGTCTGGTCCATTCACTGCTCTGTCATCTCCCCCATTGTGTGCCGGTGACCAATAAACACTTTTCCACCACGTTACAAACCCGTGGTGTAGCATCACCTCTGATTTCTCTGAATGCCCCCCTGTCTCCTCCCCCAGGTCTCCCCTCTGCTCAAAGGCTTCCTGGACAGGATGCTGGTCCGAGACCCTGCTCAGAGAGCCACCGCCAGCGAGCTGCTCAAGCACCCCTTCCTGACCAAGGCCGGCCCGCCGTCCTGCATCGTCCCCCTGATGCGACAGAACCGGATGAGATGAGAGGACCTTCGGGACTGCGGAGGGAAAGTCGCGCAGGTTCGGATGGATCAGAATACTCCTGCACACGGAGGTCAGAGGTCACGGACGGATTCAGCCAAACGCTCGGGAGAAGCGTTGGGAAGTGTGCAGGAGTATTCTCGTTTTCTTGTGTGAGTCACTGAACCGTGGGGAGTGTGTTCCCCGAATAAGAGGCAATAAGGTGGTGTGTGTGTGTTAGTGTGTGTGTGTGTGTGTGTGTGTGTGTGATCGGATGTTTCGTGGCTCGTGTGTGATCAAACACAGCAGAGGAGCCGCGGTTTGCCTGTGGAGTGATTTTTTTTTTACCTGAAGAGCCTCACGTGGAAAGATTAACACCTGTGGCTCTTCTCTTTTTCTTTTTTTTTTTTTTTTAATTTCCTTTTCGGACCTTACCTGGATTTTAAGCGTGAATGAAGGTGGGGTTTTGCACACCAGTCGGATGCTTTGAAGGAGTTTTTTTTAGAGACTGACGGAGCGACGTTTTAATCTCACTATTGGACAATCTGGAACTGTTTTTTCACTACAGAGGCTTCTCTCAAAGACGGAACCCCAAACCCGGACACTATCCTCACCACACCCAGAACTTACTACTGAGAGAGGAGAACTGTAGACTCAGAGATGAGTCGGACTTTTATTTTGTAGCCATAAAGGAAAAAAGAAAAAGAAAAAAAAACACAAAGCCTAGGTTCCTGTTGTAAACAAGCAAACCTACACTAAGTGAAAAGATAAACACTGGAGTCGTGGTAACAGATGAATTCTTCTCTTATTTCCTCCTAATTTTTCCTGTGTAAGTACAATGAACATAGAGAGATATATCAGTTGTGATGTTTTACTATCTCTTATTTTGTGATTGTTTTTATTATTATTATTATTATTCCTGGTTTTTGTTTTTAGAGTGAGATGTGATGATTTTTCTGAAGCACTGTTGACGAGCGATAGAAGCTGCACTCCCAGTTGGTTTCAGCAGATAAAACACACTAGACTTCTTTTTTTAATTTTTCTTGTTTTAGATCAGAACCACCCACAGCCCCCCTTAAATGGGTCGACGACTCGGCCTGTCCGCACCCTTGATTCGTGATTTCCACTCGTAGGCTTCGTGTCTCGCCGCACGAACTCCTCCCGACGTAGAAAACGTGCTGCTCGTCAATCAGCCGGCAGGTTGTTTTCGCTCTGCGGCCGCCGTTTTGAGGAAACGGCGAGCTGCTGACGTGCGTGAGAGCTCGTCACGTCGTTCTGCTACGCCGCTCGTCCAATTAATGTTTGATTGCCGAGTTAATGGATCCGGCTCCCGAGTCCACGTCGCAGCGCTGGAGAGGACCAAACGCCAGGTCTTTGTGCTTTGTGGCGGTTTGTCTCGCTCGGTGCTGCTCATAGCGTCGCTGCGCTTCTGAAGATATGTGAAGATTATTTTAGTGTTTGCGCTTCGCTCTGCTTAGATGTGGTTTCTGTGAAAGTGGACCATGAGGCAGATAACAGAAGTGGTTAGACGGCCTCGCCAGCAGCTGCTCACGCTGCAAACACATTCAAGAGCTCAAAGACGAATTGTTCTCCGTCGTTCCAGCCTCTTCAGGTTCATCTCATTCACCCTTCAAACACATCAGGAGTCACTTCATGTCATGAGTAGCAGCAAATTACAGCGAACCGTCACCTCCGAAGCACAAACGGCAACTGATCCTCATCCAAACGCTGCCTCAGCACCGTTCATTCAAACATTACAGCTCAGTTTGACCCACATGTCTGGAGGAAGACGTTTAGGGATTTTGTACTAGAAGGACAAACGGGTCAGCACAGCACCAGAAGGCGAAGCTCGATCTTCGTTCCAACCCTCATCTACGGACTGAGTTGGCTTTGAGCGTCTGGTTGGGACGAATCCTGGACGACTTCCTTTGGAGGTTTTCTGGGCAACCAGGACAAGAACCTGGGATGAAACCAGAACTCGATCTCATCCAGCCTGGGAACACCTCAGGATCCCTCAGGTGGACGATCCGACTCTGCACAAGCACAAGAAAACGGACATAACTACAGATGAAACGCTCGCTTTGTTTTGAAGATTTGTAGTTTTATACTGCAGCATGTAGCACTAAAAAGAAAACCACCACTACAGAAGATGAAATCAAAGATGAGGCCTTTAGAAACATTCCTCTCTCTCTCTTTCCATTCCTGCTCAGTCTTCCAGGTCGGCTGCAGCAAAAAGCCTTTTTTTAATCACACCAGTCGAGACAATAACAGACCCAGAACGCTTCCACCTGATTCCAAGATCCATCGTACGTGAGGCGGCCGTGGGGGACGAGTAGAACTTCTGCAGCCATGACTGGACTTTTAGATCAGTGGATCTCCGTACAACACGTCTAGATTTTGAGCTTGTTAAAAGGATGTGAGGTTAACCGACAGCTGGTGACGTTTCCGAGGAGACGGACGGCTCACGGAGCCTGTTACGACTACAGCTCGATGTTTTCTGTAGAGCCAGATTCTGGCTGGAGGATCGGGGAGGTTTCTATCAGCGGTTTCACACTAAACCTCGTAGCAATGAACAGTCAGCGCCGCAGAAGATGGCATTAAAGATAAAGCAGCTGTCTGTTCAGAAGTCATCCCTCTCAGAGCTGAGTGATCGCTCCTCTGTCTTCAGTTCAGCTGCTGCAGAAAGCCTCGTTTCAGACGTTGTTAGAGGAAACATAAACCCCGAGTAAGACCACCTGATCCGCTGAGACACATTTGCTCACAGTTTTTCATCTCCTGTGTGGCTTTTTTGTAAACTTTAGGGGCTTATTCAGCAGCTTGGAGCACCTCGTCTTCTACTTAAGATAGCACACAGCAGCTCCTTCGAGGAGAACTTTGAGGCACAAAGTAGTTTAATTTCTGCACAGAGAATTGCATCAAGCTGTTCTCTGCTTTAATGCTGCGTCGCTCTCTGCTCGGAGGATTTCTCGGTAACAGCAGCGGAACCCGGCGGTGCTGCCTGCCTCTGTGGTTGCTGCCACTCCATTAGGCTGCACCTTGACCTCGATAAGAGAACCTCCGTCAGGCGGGGTGGTTCTCCGTCTTCCAGCCCTCGGTGGCCTCTGACACGGTTCAGCTCGGGCCTCGGTCGACGCCCCGCTGTTTGCAGAGAAAACTGACTTGATGAAAGCGTGTGCCACGACGTTTCCGTGACTTCAGAGCCGGTTTGTTAAGAAGTTAATCGTAAACCTCGGTTCTTCTGTTTTTCCCCCCGTCAGAGGCTCCACACTTCGAGTAGGCGTTCCGTACTTTGTCTCCTTGGCTGCTTTCCAGGCAGCACAAATTTTTTTCATCTGTGTCAGTTTCTGCGTGTGTTTTGTGGTCAGAAAGTGGAAACGAACCGACACTGACTCACTGGTTTCATGTCGGCTTCTAACCAGAGACTGGAAAAGACAATCAGCTGTAGCGACGGCGTTCGGACTGAGAGAATGTGATCGATCGTTTCGATTAGCCCGTTGATTCCTCACACTAATCAAGATGGAGATAGGAACTGTCCTTCTGCTGGTGGAGTTTCCTGCTGTACTTTTATGATGGGTTAGAATGAATGAATCATGTCGGGGTTGAGCCGCCGGAAAACCAACACGAGTTTCAGCGAGTAAATTCACTGTAGTGCTGAAATCTCTGTACTCTGGACTCATCATGCGCTCGTCTCTCCTCAGCATCCTCACAACAATAACAACGAGGTGTTGATTAATTAAACCTGCAACTTCAGGTGTTGTTTATCTCGTAATTTCAAACTTTATTCTCGCAGCGAGCTCCTCGGTTTGTTGGTTTTCCTGCCGCTCAGAGCCCCGATGGTCCGACAGACTCCACCTCTGTCGGCTTCTGTTCCTTCATCAGATCGGCTTTTCTGTATCAATGTGAAAATGTGTTAACTTGGACTGTAGCTGTGTTTTGTACCGACCAGATTTTACTGCTGTGTGTGTGTGTGTGTGTGTGTGTGTGTGTCTGCGGACGTTTCATGCCTTAACATTTACAATCACTACTGGACGGGTCGACGCACTACGACTGTTCCTGGAGTTCTCGGGCGACGCTTCGGATCGAGGAGGCTCGCTTCAGCCGCCTCGTCTCGTCTTCGGGAAGCCGGGATTCGTGCTCAGCGACTCGGTTCCTCCGGGGTTTAGTGCCTTGCTTAGCGGCATCCCTGCAGATGTTTTCGTCCCCGTCTTGCTTCTCGTGAAACCTCCAGCCGACTCCCGTTAAACAAACCTCTCCTCTGATGGACTGTTATGATTCACATTGACTCACCTCTTTGTTTAAAAGCTGATTCTGTTGCAGTGTTGACATACAAGCATCTGTTTTGTAAATTTCACTGGTATTGTAAAAAAAAAACAAACATAGACTTCACTTTGCAAATTTTACTTTTTTTTTTGCAAATACAATTTTTGTAAAAGATCCCCGTCGTCTGGGTTTTTCTGTGCGTCTGAGATGTTGTGTTTTTTATCTGCAGAGATTATCAGCCTGGTGTTGTTCGCTCAGCAGGATACGAGGAGGCGTAGAGAGGCTTTTGTTCTTCGTGAAAAAAAAACTCACACAGGACCAAATGTGTAAAAGTGAGAAATATGTGTTCGCTCGTTGGGAAACACACATGAAAGGGCTTTAAAAAAAAAAAAAAGGTTGTTGCATATAAAAAAAAAAAGGGATCTGATTTACTGGTGAACATAAACGCATCATGTGGGCTTTAAAGAGTGTTAAAGCCACATTTTTTAATTAGAAAAGTCGGTTTATTGAGGTTTTATTCAAGAGAAACATCATTGTTATGCTTAAATTAGGTTAATTTGATGTCTGTTCATGACACAAAACATAAAAGTGTTTAAAAAAAGAAGTTTGGATATGAAAAAAAAAGATTTCTCAGACAACATGAGAGTTTCTGATGTGTACGGTGGCCTGTGTGGGACATTTCCGTCTCCGCTGTACTTTCTATATTACTTTAGATATAAGAAATAATTGCAAACTTTTTTTTTCTTTCTCCAAACTCACAGTATTGAAATCAATCATCACAGTTTATTGGTTCACTTCAAATGTGGATATATGTAAAAATAAATAAATGATAATACTTAAAAAATAAACCTGTAATAGTTATACTAATTTAAAGAATAGAAATAAATAAAAATACACTTTTAAAGGAATTCAAAAAAGAAAATGCAATAAAATGTGAATCATATGTGATTAGAAATGTATGAATCACCAACTATTTTTAAACTCGAGTCATTTCTGAAGAAAAACAACTATAATTTCTCTGATTCCAGCTTCTTAAATTTGAATATTTTCTGGTTTCTTTCCTTCTTCATCACAGCAAACTTATTATTTTTAGATTGTGGACCAATCAAGACACTGGGGTTTTATTTTATTTTTTAACATGTTCTGACATTTTATAGACCAAACAACTAATCACTTAATCCAGAAATTAATCAGCAGATTACTCAACAATGTAAATAATCATTATTATTCACAGACTTTCTCAGCTGTGCTCCTAATTTCATGTTTACTATGCGATGCTAACGCGCTAGCAGCCGCGTGTCGACATGAATGCATTTATTACGTAACATTTAGCATGTTAGCGTGAAATGCTAACTTGTATTTCAGGAGCAGCTGCAGATGAAAACGTGTGAATCCGATGTGATGTGATGTTTGTCTGAAACGAAAGATGCAAAACTTCAACAGCTTCCTAATCCTAATCGGTCTTTACGTGAGAGATTTATTTGCAAAATCTTGTAGAATTTCTACATCTGAGAATCCCGGCTTTTATTTTGAAATAGCAGGCAGCTCTTTGAATCCGTGGTTTGTAGAAATGTGCAGGACTTTGTGGAGCGCTGAAGGATTTCCTGAGCCGACGCTGTGGAGGCGTCACGCTGAGGCCTGGACTCAGAGTCACCTGCCTGACTAATGACACACCTGATAAGGTCTTCACAGGCTTCCTGATGAGCTGATAGAGGCTTCAGTGGAAACCCAGAAGAAGAAGAAAAAAACCCCTCTGCATCACAGCGGCAGCCTGTTGTATTTTTAGCAGCTTCCGGCAGCGACTGTGCAGCCGCAGATCTGCAGCTCCACGGCAGCAGCGTTTACTGTAAACAGGGCTTCAGACGGCCGACGGGGCAGCTGTGTTCAGGGTCCATGTGTGAGTCAACATAAAGAAGAAGTTCTGCAGAGTCGGTGTGCAGCCGAGCATGTCAGGGCGGGTCAGGTCAGAAGAAGTGCAGTGCAGAGAGAGAGAGAACGCTTATTGATGTCAGAGAAAGTGTGAAATGAGGCCACAGAGGCTGTGAAGGAGCAACACGAGAAACACGAAGGCTGCAAGAGATGGTTTGTGAATAACCTCAGTCTGGACGGTTCAGCTCAGAGTGTTCTCATCTCAGTCTACATGGTGTGAATCAGCCTTTTACAGACAACAACACACCTATTAAAGAATACACTAAAAAAAATTTACTTTCTTAAATTGTAAATTCTTATTTTTTTGACAGGTTTTCTCCTGTTTTGATAAATCATTTAAATCAGCTAAGACTTAAACATTTTGCCGATACTTCCTGTTGTTTGAGGGAAAATATATGTTAAGGAAAAAAGAAAATAATCCCAGAGAGGAACTGACATGGTAGCTGTAAAAAAAAAAAAAGGTTCAGTTTGAATCAAATGTAATGAAATCATCTCCACAGAGCGAACATTCGTGGTTCCCTGAGGATGAATCCCTCCGACTCCTTCAGCAAGTCGACTCTTTCTGTTTATTTTCAGTCGATAATCTGAGCGACTGTCGGATGAGTGATGCTGAGTTCTGGTGCCTAAACTGACAGAACTTCACGAGGAGCTCCACGATCATCAGGCCTCTCTGACGACTTCAGGAGCTTCGTCAGGAGGCCGTGAAGTCGTTGGATTCTTCATTGGTTGGATTCCAGAGAATATTTCCAAGAAGAAAGAAGCTAAAGTCTCGGCTTTTGTCCCTGCTGTCAGCTTCAGCCGTCACGGTTGCTAGGCGACAGGAGGAAGTAAACAGCTGCTGATGTAAACAGGATCCACCGAAGACCAAACTGTGTCACTCCGCAATGTTTGACTTTCACATCCTGCGTCCTCCGAAGAACCCGACCTGGGAATGTTGGACACCGTCCAGTTCTGCCAAATCCCAAACACGTTCTGGGTGTTGTGTTCGTGGAACCCGTCAGAGACGACCTGGTGCTGAACAACAGCAATTAGAAGACGGTAAACTGTGATCAGTGACCGACTGTGATTGTTGGTTCTAAGGAGCTCAGAGTGTCCAAGAAAACATCCAGCAGTGACGCTGGAGGCAGCTCGAGTCCACGGCGAGAACTGTGTTGTTCTAACAACGTTCTGTTTTTCTGCTTCTTTAAGTTCCCAGAATGTAAAACACAAGATACAGTTCTCTAAAGACCTTCTGCAAATGTTCTTATGTTGTTTGCATGCTGCATTTACAACATTATTCTTTTGTTATTATTTTGTTCTTATGGGAGAACGTTCTACAATATGTTCCCTCAACGACGTCCACAAAACATCCTCAAAATATTGCAGCAAAATGTTCCACCTTTGCCAATAGGAATGTTATAGAAATGTTTTGTAAATGAAGCAAATTCTGTCCATCGTCTCTCAAACGTGTTCCGAACGTTCCAATTAAAACGTTCTATCTTAAGTTCTGACCTCACAGGAACATGAGAGACTCTCTGTTTGACTTTTTGAAGGTTCTTTTGAAAATTGCTTCGTCTATTTTTGTTTGTTTTTGTTCAGATTTTTTATATGTTTTGTGAATGTTTGCGGTCATTTTGTCTCTTTATGGTCATTTTGAGTCTGTATGGTTGTTGTTGTTGTTGTTGTTTGTCTGTTTGTTGTGATTCTGTGTCAGTTTGTTGTTGTGTTTGTGTTTTTGATTCTCTTGTGTCTGTTTTCGTTTTGTGTTTCTTCTCGGTTGTTTGTTGTCTCTTCATGGTTGTTTTGTTTGTCTTTATCATCAGTTTGTTTCACTTTTTGAGTTTTTTGTGGCTCTCTTTAGTTGTTTTGTGCCTTTTTTGATTGTTTTGTTTATGTTTTTATTTGTTTTGTGTATGTTTGTGGTCATTTGTTGTCTCTCTTTATGGTAAATGTGTGTGTCTGTAGTTTAGGGTTGTTGTTGTTGTTGTTGTTTTTCTGTTTATAGTGATTCTGTGTCAGTTTGTTGTTGTTGTTGTTTCTGTTTTTGGTCGTTTTGTGTCTCTTTATTGTTGTTTTATGTTTTTTCATAATTGGTTTGTTTTTTTGTTTGATTGTTTTTTTTTCTTTTTGTATTTCCTGCAGACCAGTGAATGTTTTCAGACCAACAAACGTGTTAAAAGTTATTTATTCACCAAACATGAGCAAACGTCAGGTTTTGGTTTCAGCAGCTTCTCGTCCACTTGTTCCTCCTCGTTCACCTCTGACCTCAAACTAATCTGTCAAACCGAAAGCGAGACTCTGACGTCCAAGTTTCAGACGGTTTCGGTATCAGAATGACTGTTGAGCTGCAAGAACCTCCACCGAGACGTTTGTTTGGGTTCAGTTTGTCGTCTCTCCTTTTCTGGACGTTCTCTGTAGGTTCAGGGAACAGTGACCTACTGGCAACTGTGAGGGATTGTTCCCTAAAGGTTAAGTAATTGTTTACCTTTAGGGAATGTTTATGGAATGTTCGTGGACATTTTCTAAAGATTCATTAACAGTAAGCTTCGGAGAACCTTCAGGGCATGTTCAGAGAATGTTCCCTGGATGTTCTCTGAAGGTTCCGCGAGCAGTAGACTTTGGGGAACTTTCAGGAAATGTTATGACGTTCTCTGAAAGTTTTGCAAATGGCAACCTTTCAGGAGCCTTAAGGGAATGTTCGGGGAAAGTTTTGCCTTGAAGGTTCCCAAACAGTAACCTTTAGAGAACCTTTAGGGAGCCTTCCAGGAATGACTGGATGACAGATATCTTTTCCTTTTACACAAATAAAAAAGTAAAGTAATATAAAGTAAACAAACAAAAACAACTCAAAACAATCCACATATAATTAAAATAAAAACTTTTTTTTAAACTTCAGTTCGACACTCGTCAGCTGAATCTCTGTCATTAAAACACTGAAGGCTGTTACACTTAAATACTTACATTAGCTTGTTTAAGCTGCATAATAACTATAATACCAAAAACTCTTTGTTAAATAATTACAATAGTTGTTCTCCATAATCACTGACTGTGTAATATAATCAGGTTAAGCAGGATTTTTAAATCATTTTTTGCAGGTTTTTGATTCCTGAAGGTAAATTATGGAGGTAAACTCACACCAGAACTGCAATATTTAAACTTTATATGATGATGTTTTTACAGGAGAGCAGCTTGTTTTAAATGTGGTATAAAGTTTTTTTCCTTATGTTCTGTAGCCCCATCAGACGCCAGAGTGATTTTTTTTAAACTATTTTTTATTTTTTCATTTTTAAACTTCCAAGAACTTATTTTATTCCAGCTAACTGTTTTATTTCTTGCACCTACTTGTATGTATTTTGATGTCAAACCGGCCGCAGCTTCCTCCTCCTGCATTACTCAGTGCGCGTGTCTGTCTCTGTGTGTGTGTGTTTGTGTGCGCGCGCGCGTTTTGCGGTACAAAGGGTGCGTTTCCAGAAGATGACGGAGCCGCGCAGCTGGGCGGTGCTCGGCGGCGGCGGCAGCCAATCAGCGGCGGGCCTTCTCCGTCGTTCACAGCTGATCGGTGAGTCAGGCGGCGGAGCCCAAACGGTCCCACTTGTTGCCGAGCAGGAGCCGCGAACCGTCAGCTGATCGCGGAGAGAGACTCGTCGCCGGCCGCCGATCAGCCCCCAGAGCCCCGCCGAGCCGCCCCCGGACCCGCAGCTGCTCCCGGACCCGCCCGCCTCCTCCTCCTCCTCCTCCTCCTCGGCTCTCTCAGGTGAGGTTCTGCCCGGCGGGGAGCGCAGGTGTCCGGGTTTAAGTTCACCTGCAGCGGGCCGCCGGAGCCCCGAGGTTTGTCTGTTCCTCCTGCTGAGGCTGTGAGCGGATCAGAACCGAGCGGCACCTGTTCGCGTTACCTGGTGTGAGCGCGCAGAGCTGCAGGGACGTTGGAAATGACAAGAAGCGGCTGCTGTCGTGAAGCTTCCACTGCTGCAGGAACAAAAGCAGCTTTTTACATAATGAGCTGTTTCTAAATAGAGGTTCCGTCTGTGGAGTCCAGATCCTCACTGCTCTGGCTGCTGCTTCGTGCTGCTCTGAACCAGCACCAGGGCTCTGGTACCGGCTCCAGGTTGGGTTTTCAGCTCGTTATTCTCGCTGTGATTAAATCCAGAGCCTCAATCAGGAGTCGATTAATCGATTAGTCGATCAACTCTGCAGCTGTTGAATTGGTGTTTTTGCAGAAGTGAGTCGTGTGTTGTTGGATTTTTGCTGCTGTTCTCCATTTGTTGAGCCTTTTATGGACAATTATTGGAGCAACTCAAACAATAACAGGCTGTAAAAAAGCGTTTTATGATTTATGTTTATATTTGACCAATTCTCAGTATTTACAGTTTGGTTAAATTATATCAAAATGTCCTTATTCTACAGATATGTGCTGGTATTTAGGGGTTAAATGTATGTTAAGGATTTAACAATAGTAGGACATGTTTTAAAAACCTTTTCCTCCCATTTTGTCCAATTACTTGCCACCATATAAATATTAATTTATTTATAACTTGTAAAAAATACAAACCAAAACTGTACAAAATGACAGAATTACAAATCTGTATTTTTACAAATAGTAGTTTGTTCTTTCACAGCGTGTGGCAGTAAAATGAAAACCTTCTAAAATCTAATTATTTTACATATTTGTACTTTTTCTAAAGTGTCTATGATAAGGATTTTAAAATGGGAAATAATGTTCTTTAACCATTATTTTTTCTAAATTGTCCTGTTTTGTTGAATTAATATTAATAATCTTGTAAAATCACAGAAAATGTTAAAATAAGAAATTACATGTTAACTGGAAAAAAAAGTAAACAATGACCAAAATGTAATTAACAAAAATGTAAATTCATTCTCTAACAACTTTCAAACATAAATATTCTCTAAATAGAAATATTTTACTTTATTATGTAATAATTAAGGACAAAAAATATCTGTTTTTTAAAAAAAAAAAAACTACATATTTTACAGATTTTTTCTGTTTTGTTGAAATACAGAAAATATTTAATAAAACTACAGGTAAAGAAAAATAATTTACAAAAAAAAAACTGGAAATAATGTCAGTCATTTGTTCTTTTACAACATTTGACCATAAAATTAGAAAAAAAGGTAAATTACTCCACAGATATTTTCTGGTATTTTCACCATTTTTTACATTTTTTTAAAACATTACAGCATTCTGTCATGTTTTAATATTTATTTCTCAGTGTTTTTTCTTGCTGTTTTTGACAGTGTGTTAAAGGAGACAACAATCCACCACTATCTGAGGTTTAGCTGTATAAAGAGCAAACCTCCGGAGCTCCTTATCTTCTGGTGGCTCCACAGATAAGGCTGCGTTGTGTAGTTGCATAAAAACAAACAAAAAAAAAGCTCCACATGACAAACTGTGCTGCTGCCGACACTCAACATGAATGAATAAATCGATAAACATCACAAACAAAGCGTCTGAGAAGCTGCAGACGGTGAATCCTGACGGTTCAGGATGGATTAACGTGATGGAGCCGCTCGTCTTATTGGTTCATCATTAACTTTATTATCCGACGGTTTCATCGCTCGTGTCCTTGAACCGCTTTGTGCCCTCGGACCCGTCCTGCCTCCTGTTGTGCCTGAATGCAGCATCAGCACTTCCACTGTGTGTGTGTGTGTGTGTGTGTGTGTGTGTGTGTGTGTGTGTGTGTGTGTGTGTGTGCATTGTGTGGTGCTGCCTGCTTTGTTGCTTCCTCGCTGACGTATGTGTGAAAACTTGCAAAATATCTGACTTTTTTCCCCCCTCCACTTCATGCTTATTTCCTTTTCTTTTGACCTGATTCAACTGACAGCTAAAACGTCTTATTTTGGCGGGGCTGCTTCCTGGAATCGAGCCACCGTTGACTAAACCGGTTTCACCTGTTTGTGGAGAAACAGTGTTGACAACTTCTTTGAGAACTCGGGAGGATTTGTGGTGCACATTTAACCATCTGGGACCCTGAACGCATCGCCCTCTGCAGCACATTCACCTTTTTTATGTGTTCCTGCAGAACCAGGCCGCGTCATAACGAGAACAGCCTGGTGCACGTTTGTGGTTGAAGAAGCTCCGTTTCTTAATAAAACCAGGAGCCTGACATTCAGCTGCAGGTTTCAGAAGCAGCAGAGCGCAAAAGAGCAAAGTTCAGGCTGGCAGAGCAGCTACTGATCAACCAGATGTGGTTCAGTGGGTGAACTCCAGCAGAACTGTGTCAGAACCCGGCTGCTGTTTGTCATGTCTCCTCCTGTGATTCTGCTGTCGGTCCGGGGATCTTCCCGGGAAAAGTCCCTCGTCTGGGCCGCTCCCACTAAGGAATTGGACTTTTGGTTTCTCTTTGTGAACCTGCACGACTTCAAATCGTCTCTGTTTAAAGAAAGACTAGTTTAGCTTCAGGTAGTTTTACTCTGCGTTGGTGTTTTGTAGAAAGCCACGCCCGGCCTGCATCCTGAGCTCACGGTCAATGCTTTTGAGGACTTCCTCTAGTGCTGGGGCGTCCAGTCCTGGTCCTGGAGGGCCACAGTCCTGCATGTTCTAGATGTTTCCCTTCTTCCAACACACCTGATTCAAATGATCAGGATGGTTATCAGGATTCTGCAGAGCTTGATGATGAGCTGATCGTCTGAATCAAGTGTGTTGGAAGAGGCACACATCTAGAACATGCAGGACTGTGGCCCTCCAGGACCAGGACTGGACACCCCTGGACTTGTGAATTTGAGGTTTGCTTGAGATAATATCGATCAAACTGAAGTTACAAACAAACATACAGATAACTTCAGTGTGACTGTTGTTGTCTCAGGTAGACGATGGAAACGTGGGTTTTCTGAAGGTTGGTGAAGATGGAGTTATCTGTTAGCGAGCTAGCGGCTAATTTGTGAAAACAAGCGCCAAACGCATGCAAAACTTTAAAAATGTAAATAAATAAACACGATAAATGAAAGTCTGTCGTTCTGCTGACCTCGGCTGAACTCTCTGGCTGCAGCTTCCTGAATCTCTGATGTTTGCGGCGATGGGATTTCACTTCCTCAGCGCTGTAGCTAAGAAGGTGCTAGCTGCTAGATATCGGTTTATTTTTATAATAATCACCAGACAGCGAGACGCGTCCACCTCGAAGCTGCAGAGCGCTGGAGGCAGAAACACCCTGAAGGTCTCACTCTTGTTCAGAATCAGTTTCCTGTTCCTCCTGTGGTCGCTGTACAGTGTTTGAGCTGGTGAGCTGGTGAGCTGGTGTGCTCGAGCTGCAGGTCTGCACATTCCAGATGAGAGGCTTGTTTTAATAGGGGGGAGAAAAGCTAAATACGTGACCTTCACACACACAGAGGGGATAAATGTGCAACCAGAGGCAGACTTTAAAGTTTTATTTTTGGTTTTCTGTGGTTTGGTGGTTTTTCTGTTTTCCTTTTTTGGCTTTTCAACCAATCAGAGCGTCGACTTGTGAGATTTTTCTTTATAAATAACTCGAGTCGTGCTGATGCATCATCTGCCAGAAACACGACCAGGAAAGAAGGAGCAGCTTGAAGCTACAGATGTTCCAGCAGATGTGAAGAGAGGAACGATGGAAAGCTAAGCGATAGAAGGATGTTCTGTGAGCTCTCCTCTGCAGAACCTCGTTCCAGCAGCTCGGCCTG